ACCTCTGGTTCTTTAACCCACGCCTCTCCCAAAACAGTGAAACATTTAATTGGATGAGATAAAATTACAATCATATATTGCAGCAATTAGAATCATTCCAAAGTCAACTGTTACATTTATTAACAAAGGGCACATCTACACTGGTCCTTTTGGTGCAGTGTAGTCTGGTCTAAATAGGGTCACTTGAGGTCTGGGGGAGAAGCAGTATGCTATTTGGTGTGATCCTTGTGTCCAAATGGCACATTGACGTCAAGCAACCCTCCAGCTCCTTCCACTGTCAAGTGTCAGTTGAACACCCTCCCTTTCCATTGAACATTGTCAATTGAAAGGGACAAAAAAAAGAGGCTAAGAGATGTTTAACAAAAAAAAGGGGGGGGGTAAATTGGCATCACAAATTTGCAAATGAACTTCTCCTGTTCCGTGCAAGGAATCCAGAAAGAAGCTGGTTAGAGGAAGCCATGAGAGAGGGGGCCCCCTCTCTCCATCTGTGTTGGGTAAGGAAGAAGGGAAGACAAGCAAGAGAGGAAAGAGAAAAGCACTACAGTGAAAGGAATTGTGTGGATTCCCCATTCTTCCTGACAGCTGTGTGCTCCTATGCGTGTGTGTCTGTACATGTGAGCACAGAGGTGATGCGCACAGAGAGAAGAGAGTTGGAGACAAGTTGACAGCATGTAGAAGAGTGAATGATTCCAAAAGCAATTAGAGGAAGGTGCACTGCATTACTCAAGACTTCAGTAAACTGGAAATGAAACTATGATTTTTGCCTGTCCTAGACCATCATTGAGCCACTTAATCAATTAAATTACATTTTTAAAAAATTCTTTGCATTGTAAGTAATGCCAATCAAGAAACTGTTTGCAAACCAAAGTTTTGATTTGCACTTTACACAAAGGCAATTAAAAAAAATAGATTCAATTTTTTTTTAAAAAAAATTGAATCTAAGTGATTCAGGATTTTTAAAAAATAGATTTTTTTTAAAAAAAAATGAATCTAAGTGATTCAGGGCATCAGCAGAAGTCTAGCAGCCACGACAAAATTAATTTCACTTCCCCTGCCCCTCTGCAGAGGAAGACAGGAAGTGTTCATTTTGCCGTGTTCTTAACTCAAGACGTTCTTAAGTCAAAACCCCACTGTATCTTCACATAGTCACTATTTGACCGCTGAGGAACACAATTTAAGTTTCAATTTCCATTCTCTATTCACCTCTGCCCACAAAATTTGATTTCTTTTTTCAAACATTTGCTGAACTTATCTAAAGCCAGCAATATTTCATTATGCAAAGCCATACATCTGATCTGCTGCTGCACTGGAGGAATTGTAGATTATTTAGCAACAATAAAATATGCAATGAGACAACATAAGACCAAACTTGGCATAGGTGGGCAAAAGTGCTTCGGTTAAAGTCTGCTTTAACTTATAGCTATGTATTATTTCATAAGACTTGAAATGAGACCAGCATTTGCGTTTTAGTGTATTAGTTTGAAAGACTGTCCTGTTTTTATTTCTTATGTGTATCACATCAAGCCAAACTGCAACGAAAACATCATGTCTATAGTTTCCCCAAAATCCACAACAAATCCACAACACTATTTCTTTTGCTGGGATTTCTCCCATCCCTTAAACTAATCTGAGTGTTGATTCTTTATCCAAGTTCAAGATAGTTTCCCAACAGAAGGCTTCATTGTGTTCCCAGAAAAGAAACACTGTGCTAGTTCTAAATCATGAATTCTTCGAAATACTTCTAGTAGATTTATGGAGTGACACAGCTGGTTTTAGAAAGAGGATCAGTTTCCACATTTTAAAAAAATTAAGTAAATGTATTTGAAATGGAAAGCAAAAGGAATGATCAAATAGAGACAGGCCAGGAGGTCAGTGGCAGAGCAATCCATGATGTGTCTAGGTAGGGATGGGAAATCTCCTCCCTAGAGAACTGCTGCTAATCAGTGTTGACAGTACTGGGCTAGATGTGTCAAAGTCAGCTTTTTAAAAGGGAAAAAAAGAGGGAGGGGAGAATGCATGTTAGGGAGGGGTAAAGATGAGAAATGGGAAGAAGGTAAGGTAAAGGTTCCCCTTGACAATTTTTGTCCAGTCGTCTTCGACTCTAGGGGGCGGTGCTCATCCCTGTTTCCAAGCCATA